TGCAGAGATATTTGAGCCACACACACACACACACACACACACAGACAGACAGATTTCTTGCTTTATAGATAGATTCTTTCATTGTGTACTGACACAGTGATGTTTGATCCAGTGTAGGATTTAAATAAAGTGGAAACTGAAGCTTGGGTTTGGATCAATGACCTCAGGTAAATTATAAAACGCTCCATTAGAGGGTCAACCCAAACATATACAACACGGGACCCTTTAATGTTATATTTCCCCTCAGTCTAAATTAGATTATATAGATATAGTAATAATGATAATATATCAGTTACACACTGAGAGTTTATCTGACTTTTATTGGCAGGTTATGAAACAATTAGCAAAAGAAGAAATAAAGTCTGTTTACATTTGAACTGAGAGCCAACAACATTTCCTGAGCAGAGGAAGCAGCGTCTGTATCTGTCCTCCTCTGAAATTAAAACGTTATTTGGAGTCAGGACAGCTGGTTAACTGCAGGTCCAGAGCGACATCGTCCAGCTGCCTGATGTACTCGGAACAATCCGGAGAGGTACAGTCTGTGGGCCACAGATCCACCAGCGCCTCCTTGTCCAGAGGAAGGCGATACCTGGGGGCAGAACACACACACCGCCGCTCAGAGTGGCATCAGACTGGAAGGACTACAGGTGAGAGAGTGGCAGAGAGACACTCACGTTAAGCCACTGCTGAGCGTGACCTCTGACCCGCTGGCTCCCACCACCAGGTACTGTTTGTTGTTCTGGATGTCAACTGCACTGCAGGTGATCTTTCTTATGAGCTCTACCTGTGTACCTGAACTCACCGCCTCGAACTCTGCAACAGACACACAGAAAGAGGAAACATAAAGTAACACAACCTGCTGCCACATGAAGAGACAGACGTACTCAGATACATTACTCCAGTAAAAGTACCAAAACCACACTGTAAAGTACTCTATTACAGTATGTACATTAAGTATATAATCAGCCATTAAAATCTGTCCTAATGAAAATCATAAAAAAGTTTCAACTCATCCCGACTGTCTCTTCTTTTCTTGGGATTTACATTTATACACTGATATTTATGGCAGGGAAGGTTTCTTATAAAATGTGTAAAATGTTGTTAATAACTATCAAATAGACTTTAAATGATTCTGGCTATTCAAACTAATGCAAAGACATCATAATGTCTATATCATGACTTTCTCTCAGCGCCCTCCAGCGTCCCTGTAATCAGTTAAATGTACTTAAAGCATTAAAAGTAGATAAATGTCCTCTGTGACTGTGACTGTTATATACAGAGGAGGTTGCTGAAGTGGAAGTACACATACTCATGTATAAAAACCTGCAGGTAAAAGTAGAAGTTCTGATTCTTTACTCAACAAAAGTGATAAAGTACAGGCACCCAAATGTTCTTAAAGTATAAAAGTAAAAAGTATAAAGTACTCTATGTGTCTCTGAAGGATTTCAACAACAGTTTCTGTGTAAATCTGAAAGTTCAGACCAGGTGGAGTCTCCCTCTCTGTCCTGTGTGATATGAACCGGCCTTTATGCTGGGAAGTCGTGCAATAAATATCAATAAATAAATCAATGATAATTCCCTTCAAATGCATTAAAACTAAACTAATAAGCCAGTTTTTAAATTGTAAGGAGTAGAAAGTTCAGATTTTTGTGTAAACAAGTCAAAAATAAATACCCAAGTTAAGTACAGATAGCTGAAGTAAAACTGTAAAGTTGAATGTATAATTCATGTTTTCCTCTTCATAATCTCCCAAAATACCAACAGAAGGAAGAATGAAAACAAGTCTGACAATAATCAAAATAAGAAAAATGATATCATTTTTGGGGCTTTTTGATTTATTGACAGGACAGCTGGAGATAGACAGGAAGGAGAGAGAGAGACGGGTTGATGCCGGGCAGGTCGAACCCACGGCCGCTGCAGCAAAGACTCAACCTACCAGCTTTTACAATTCACACTTATATTTATATAATTCATTAAATAAGAAGGCAACTTGTTCCCACAATGTGTGTGGATATGAAGGCGTCACATAGTGTCAGACTGACCTTTGCCTTTGTTCTTCAGGACCTCAACTACGGTGGCTTTGTAGGTCATAAAGTCTCCTTCTGCTGCTGCAGACGTTACTGTGACCTTGTAGGCTGCAGAGAGACACAGTGAGAGTTAATAACACACATCAGACTGACCTTACATCCACCTGCAGCTCCCACTCACCGTATCGGATGTGCGCCCGGCAGATCTCATCGAGGTGTTTGTCTGCTGTCACAGTCAAATCAATGGTTCCTCTGTAGGTGGCGCATGCAGCTAAACAACAACAACAACAACAACAACAACAACGTATACTGTGTTAAAACAGACATACAACACGTAACACCACATGAAATCTGACATCGGCCAATCGGAAGGCAGAAGTTACCTGTCATGCACTGACACTGGTCGCCCACACAGAGGCGCTGCAGAGCCTGCTCCTGGTAGGAGAACAGTTTGGTGCACATGCTGCCTGCAGGAGAACACATAGTGAGTCCACCGACACCGTTTATAAAGTCTGAGTGTGTGTGAGGAAAAGTTTAAAAAAGTTGTAATCTTTAGATCGAACATGATACATCAGTTTTTATCTCTTCCTGGCGTTAACGGGCTTACATATATCTGATAAGGACTACAAGTCCCAGCATGCACGGCGGGTCATGACTCTCACCTTTGTCCTGAGGCTCATAGACGCTAAACAGGGACTCGGTGGCCCCGGTCACCCTGAACCCGGTCCTGATCCGAAAACCAACGCACAGGAAGACGTCTGAGGGCACCTAGCAACCAGACAGGAAGTTTTCATGCACAGCGAGCCTGGCAACCAGACAGGAAAGTTATCACAGAGGAGCCTAGCCAACCAGACAGGAAGTTATCACAGCACAGAGACAAATCAAACCAAAAATGACTAATATGGGAAAACTCTGGAATTACGTCACAAATCACATAAACTTTACATTTAGGCTTTTTTATAATATTTGATTCTACAGAACAATAATTGTTATGTTGTTGTTAAATATTGTATGTTCTCAGATTTTCAGTGTAAGGATGTTTGCAGTCGACTTTGGCTGAAGGTGTTTGTGTTACTCACAGTGTCCATATAAATGACCACAGTGTTTCCTTGGAGCTCGTAGTGGGAGATGATCGGCTCGTCTATGTCTCTGAACTGTAAAACAACAAATCAGTTCCAGTACGGACGTATAAATGCTGTATCTGGTCTATAAATACTATATCTCCTCTATACATTTTATATCTCCTGTATAATATGTTAATATCTGGTGTGCTGATTTAAAAGAGCGACAGTATTCGTTTTCACTCTTTCATTCACTCTGTTTCTGGTTTTAAAGCTCACCTGTTTGAGATCCTCCAGGTAAGCATCCACACCTGTCGGCAGCTGGATCTTCATCAGTGTCTGAGTGGACTCTGTCAGCAGCTCGTTAGGAGGAGGTTTATACCTGAAACATCACATTCAGGATAAGAAGATAAATGCTTTAATATTCATGCTGAATGTGTTACGATGTGTAATATCTGGGTGGCGGCTGTGACTCAGCACGCCGTCCACTCATCAGCACGCCGTCGGTTTCTTACTTTGCACAGGCGACCAAGTGAGGAGACCGCAGACTGGGATCTGAGGAGGAGAAGAAGACATGTACTCTGGTGACAGACAGAGAGACAGACAGACAGACAATATATATATAATAATAATGTTCAGTTTTATTATTTATTGATAAGTTAATCACTAATATGGGAGACTGTGAGTAGATATGAGGACTTACTGGTGTCGGGGCCCGCCACCTCTATGCTGATATCAAAGTTACATGTCCCTGTGGATGTGGTGGTCTCGTAGTAAACCGTCTTCATCTGGAAACACAGCGAGGGACAGTCAAAGTGCATTCTGGGAGTTAAATGTGAGACAGTTCACTGTGTTCAACCCACTTTCACTACGGACACGCCTGACCCGTAACCCTTCACGGTGATGACGCCGTTCGTCACCTGGGAGAACAAACAGGAACACGGTTATTAACCACAGCGGACCTGTCTCCGTCTCCTAAGCCTGTCTCACTGTCCTCCACCTGTCTCGCCCTCACCTCCATGGGCGAGACGACAGTTCTGCCAGCCTGGCTGAGCTGGACTCTCTTCTCTTCTCCCGTCTTCTGGTTGCGGACACTGATGTGCTGATTGAGGGTGGCTCGAGTGACGACACCGCTGTACTCTGTGACCGCCTTTATGGTCAGCACTGTGTCCTGAGAGACAGACAGGTCACAGAGAGAGACAGACAGGTCAGAGAGAGAGACAGAGAGA